TGGATATCATATATTCTTTAGTTTATTTAATCAAGCCTTCACTAGTAAGTAGTGTGTCTACCATTCGGGATAGATGCATTTCCTGCAGTGATAGGCTCATTTATTTAAACTATTATGGATATGGGATTAGTTCGATCTCATATTTTCAAGACATAAAATATTAATTTTCAAAATTATATATATATATATACATATATTAAATAACTTAATTACATTATTAAACCTTCCCTTACCTTCCTCGGTCGCACGCGACACGGCTTAGGCCCGCACGTCATTTCTCTTCCCCTTCTTCCGTTCAATCGCTCGGGCTCATATCTCGCTGCACTCACAGGAACTCCAGCACTCGCCTCCTCAACAGCATTGCACTTGCTACTACTTATACTACTGCAGGCATCATCCAACTACAGTCTAACTTCTACTACGAGGAAAGCCCTAACTTGTGCTCATAGGTCCACGCAAGCGTCGTTCGACTCTTGGATAAGTAAACCTCACCTTTGTTGCCCCTCCTGCGCATGGTTTTTAATACACAAAAGCATCCTTTCGTGTTTTGTACCTCTCGTGCTTCAACTCCCACTTCTTCGGCTTCCAAACCCTCTCACTTTCTTTCCCCCCTTTTGGTTCCCTCTCTTCAATTCCCTTGAGAAAACAAAACGAGTCATAATAACATACCACCTTGTCACTACATAAATGATATACACCTCCTTGGCTAGAGGATTATCACTTCATATTATTGGTAGCTTGGGGCGAACAAACAGCAAGTACATTTTCCTTTTAGCTAAGTTTGTTAGGCCTTAAACATGAGTACTCTCTCTATTTCCTCAAGGGGTTAAGATTGTTTGCCATAATACTAGACATCATGCGATGCCTCCATGGTTGTGTTATAATAATGAGAGCAAGTAGAATATATTGGCTATAAGGATAAATGCAAATTAAAGAATGAAAAAGCAAATATGTTCTTCCTTCCCTAAAATTTTCTCTTCTCCCTTATTAATTCTCAAATTCTTCCATCATTTTTTTCTACTCTCACTACTTTTGGAGTTGCCAGTAAACTCATCAATCATCATTTATTCTTATAATTTGGTGCTTTCACTGATCCCATCCACATTTTTAAGCATTCTACATGGCAGAACATGGTGCCACCAAATTAGGTAAATGTGTGCCCTCGAAGAATAGTGTCGAAATTTTTTTGTACAAAGACAAGCTCCCATAGTACCACAGATGTAATAGAGCTCAGCTACAATGTCACGGCTGCTACAGTTCCGCCCCAGTTCTCCCTCTCTCTCTTCCGCAATGAGATTCACTCAATCACCAATAATAGCAAAAGAACATAAGGCACCGGGATCAAAGTTTTGTATCGATGGATCAATTTCTCTATAGTACTCAATATTTTTTGTCTTGACGTAATAGAGTATTAAAATAGATGCTCTAAAGAGCACTTAATAACATTATAAATTGCATTCCAATATGCAAAAAAATTTAAGATATACTATGGCTTGGCTACGATCTTAGAAAACTTGTAGTAAATCATTCATCTTCATGTCTATTATTATTTCTTCATTACTAATTACAGTAAACTTATTTTTGCTATCTTCAATTACATAATATACATGCTTTAACTCATTTGGCAATTTTGTCGTTGGACGAGTCTCACAAAAGTGCTTCTTGTAAAAAGATCATTATCGTAAGTTATTTGGTCGTGTAGTTATCTATGTTTTAATCCCCTGGGCACAATAATCATAAAGAAAATACTATATAATCGTATGATTGCTTAAGATGGTGACCAACAACCCATGAGATGAACAAGGTCCAACCTCAGATACCCTAGAGTTTAAACCCAAGTAGTCAAGCTCCAATTCGTAACCTAGTCAAAGCAATAAGTTCATGAGACTCATGCAAGGACAGCATTGCGAAAGGAGTCGGAGCATGCACATCATGCATTTTAAGCTACCAAAGATAAGTTAGATGTCATTGACAATGAAGAAATGATAATAAAAATGAAGATAAATGATTTATTAAAAGTATTTTATGACCGTACTCAAATTATGAATTGTCCTATGTGGGTTTTCTTAAACTGTGATACATATTAGAATGCAATTTACTTAGTTATTAAGTGCACTTTAAAGCATCTACTTTTAATATGTAATCACGTCAAGAAAGCGGAAGATAATGAAATCAATACAACTCATCACACCACAGCTTCAGCCAGCGGAGTCATTATATGCAATTATCTGAAGAGAAGAATAATAATATTTTAAGAATTTGACTTTCTTTAAACATTCCACGAGAAGCCAAAAGCATCTCTTTTGAGTTACATTTGTTATATGCTCTCGCCATGTCACAACCCAACCAAATCAGAATAAAGTGATTGTCCAGTATATGAGCTTTACACATGGTGTGCCATTAAATAATGTAACAAGTTTAAATCGTCTATCACTAGAAATTGATCATCAATCAACTAACATCACAGTATTGACTATGCGACAAAGTTAAAAATATGTTTCTCATATGCAAAAATATCTGTGAAATTGGGTTCGATTTGGTTGTTTTTTCGACCCATTGAGAATGAAGGATGATTCACCCTTAAGCGCCTCATTCCTGAAAAGGACTTTGTGTTGATGTTTTATAATATTATTTTATGTATTTTTAAGTTTAAAGAATAAAAATAATAATATTATTAGAAGAGGTCTACAGCCTTATAAGGAAGCACATGAATTAATCGAAAGCCAATAAAAAATTTGATCAAATGGTATAAAGCCTAGATTTGTATTCCTAAAGCTCATTATGATTGGGGAATGAGTGGGCTCCAATGCAAAAGAGAGAGGAAGAACAAAGGCAGTAATGTAACATTTGAAGCACTATAGTAGTCATCTGGCATTCTAGTCGAAGAATGTAGGAGCCGCAATACTATAATAGTTGAAATTCTTAAAAGAAATTCAATAAATAAATTGTAGCACTCATCAAGATCATGTGTGAGGTTCGATTACACCTCACGACCAGAGCATTCCAAAACCTGATCCACGACCCAACTCGTCCAACGCCGTAGGAAACATGCAAGAAGATAGGGCGAACAACAAGATAGCCCAGATATTGTTTTCATACGCAATTCATATAGGTGTTATTTCAATTCAACCCCAAGGGGCAAAGTAGCTCTTTTTCTTTTTTTTTGCAAAATGAGATTACAAGATATTTTTGTTTTGAAATAAATACATGAATATCATTCACTTTTTCTCTACTTAGAGAGGAAAGATCACATATCGTACCTATATAGCTGCAACTTTTGTAACTTTAGTCTTTTTGACATTGAATAAAATATGCAAGTTTCAAGAAAACATGTAAGAAATCATGATCCTAACACCATTTAAAACACAATCCCAATATACAATGGAGGCAATCCTGAGCTAGGAATGCAAGAAAATGGAATGTTATAGCCTTCATAACCTTACTAATTCAAAGAAGCTTTACACTCACCTCCTTCCAGAGCCTATCAAAGGAATGGTATCTTTGCTGAGTTAAACACATACTGCCAAACTTCCCCCAAACTGAAATCTAATCAAAACTCCACAAGTTGTATTCTTACCCATTCAAAATCCTGAAGTGTGCCAATCCTTTGCATATCACTAGGAGATACCATGACATTCTGGAATTCACCCAGCTTTTCATGTCTCTCTCCCTTGAAACCATTCAAGAAAGATTACACGCTACACCCCAATTCCTTACCTTGAAAAGACTGGCTACACCATACACTTCTCCACCCAAAAGGCTTAATCAAATCACGCCACGCCTACAAGGATGTGTCAGCAAATGACAATACCTGATAAAATGGAAAAAGGCCTTCCATGAAGTGATGCAACCTGGATATATGTGAAGGAGCTTAACACAATTTATCCTAACCTCGACCTTGAGGGCAAGGTCACTCACAAGGAATGTGAACTTTGATGCAGTTTGTAACACATCACCATGTCCACTACATAAATGCCTAAAATGCTAAACAACTCATTGGTTCAAGGAATACAAACTCATGGATGGTAGCTCGAGATGAAAATTGGGATGAACAAATAATAAGTGCATTCTCCATTTAGCTAAGTTTGTTGAGCCTAAGAAATGGGTCCTCATTCTGCTTCCTTGGGTGGTTAAGGTAGTTTGCCTATGGCACTTGACATACTATAATGCCTCCATGGATGTGTTGTGATCGTGAGAGAAAGAAGAATATATTGGCCATATGGATTAACATAAAGGACAAAATGAAAAAGCAAGTATCTTGTTCCTTCTCTTAAATTTTCTCTTCTCCCCAGTTATGTCTCAAACTCTTCTCTTTCATTCCCTACTCCTCTTACTCATACTATATTTGCAGGTGAACTCATTGATCTTTGTTTATTCTTATCAAATAGTTAAAGTGAATAGTAGATCAATACACAGAAGAGTTTCAAGCAAAAATTATTTATTCATAACAAAAACCCTAGGAAATATTTTTACTAAACAAAAATTTGAACTAAAGATATAATAAAACATGAAGCTTAAAGAAACCCTATAGTTTATTCCATTCAACAAAGGATTCCTAAGGGCTTGTTTAGGTTTTTTTTTTTTTTTTATGGCTTTGTTTTTTTAAAACTAACTTGTTTAGTGTATTTTTTTCGTGCTTTTTTTAAAATAAATTAACAATTTTTTTGAAAACATTCAAAATAATTTTTAAGTATTTTGAGTACCAATCATGTATTAATTAAACATAATAATTAAACATGTCAAACATATTTTATTTCAAATCAAAACATAAACAAAATAAAATAAAATAAAATAATAGATAACAATAAATAAAAGTGATATGACCGCTAAAAAAATATCAATCTTTGAGTCATTGAACTAAGTAAAATTGATTGCAACAAATAATTAACCATTATGAATACCACACAATTTGACTTTATAAGGAAAATAAAATAATAACAAACAAAGACTAGGGTTTGACTGAAATAATTTTGTACTGAACAGAAAAATTAATTTATTACTCTCGCAGAAATGGATGAGATGCTTTGCAACTGCATTCCCCTTGATCGTGAAGCCATGGAGGAGCATGATCAATATAGTGTTCCTTCCCCTGTATCCTGCACAAATTGAAATTGTAATAAATAATATGCTAAGAAAGCAGAGCATCATATTAGCATTCGCAAATGAAACCTAACTTAAATTCATAAATTGGTTAGTTTATCAATAATAAAAGCCAGTTTCGATCATACTTTCATTAAATGCACTCACATATATTTTAGCATGTTTGGCATTATCACAAAACAAAATGTTAAGACTAAACAAAACAAGCAGAATTCATCAAATTAAGCCTAAATCTTCATCATAATCTCTTGAGAATATGCAGCCTTCAAAACAAAACGAAATTTGAAGCAACTAACATGTTCGCATAAGAGAAAGGGACTGAAAAAAATGCATCTTCCTCAAGCTAAAATACATCAGATTAAAAGACCTTAAGTTGCATAAATATCCGAAATACTTATACAGTTTATAAAAACTTATGATTTTTTTAATACAAGAAAATGTCATACCATCTTTACTATCAAGTTTTAAGCTTCTAGCTTGTTCTTGAACATTAGACAAACCCATAAGATAAACTGTTAGCTGTGAGCACTAGAGATTCACCGAAGATTGGCACTCTTGAGGCCAAGCCAAATCAGAATGTTGGTGATGTAGAATTTTTATAAAGTTTTGAATTCAAAAATGCAGCATGGGATGAGATAAACAATGAAATGCAAAAAGAAGAAAAAATTTAGCAATCGACAAATTGGCAATGCTTAACTTTAACAACTAATAATAACCTCAAATACATCAAACACACTTCTTTCATTCAATAAAACAGTGTCATAATCATCAAAATTTTAAAACTTGTAATAAAATTGGAACCAGTTACAAAATTTCAATAATGATAAAGATTTACACTGCGAAAAGAATTTGATAAGTATCACACTTTACAAAACCTCCAACACAGACATGAGCTACTAAACAAGTTCATAGCGATGACAAGAGTAAAAATCGCCTAATATAAGATCCAGACAACATACCAATACAAGAAATTCAGCTCCATATTGAGAAATCTACATCCAACTACACAAATACAAAAACTGAAAAAACTAGAATAAAATTTCACTACTTCGTGCAACCATAGACTAATTCTTACTCCTCCATGTAACCCAGTTTTCCCATTAAAGGAGTAGCGGCCAAAGATCGGCCTTCAATCTATAAGAAACCAGATAAATCAGCATAGAAAAAATTTTAAATGCTTGTATTTGCCCTCATTTTAAAGATAAAGCTTCCTAAAGTCATTTTAAAATTTCTTAATACGCGATATACAACTTCAATAATTTTATTCATGAGATTCTTCATAAAGTGGCTAAAGTCACTAACAGAGACTAATATGTCATGTGAGTGACACGTACATTAGTTTGCCCACTATTTGTTGCACCTTCCTTGTTTAACCGACATACTAATTTCCTTCATGACAAGTTGGTTGAATGAATCCATTGGTGCATCAAAAAGCTTATAATCAAGCATTTTAGTTCCTTTAAATAGGTCTAGAATAAACCATGTGTTTATAAGACCGCTAGTCCCATGCCAAGAAAATATTTTAGATGACAAAGATACACGATTTCAAATTCTTTGGCTAATACACCCTTTAAAACTTTCATGTCTTCCTCTAGTTAGCCTACAACAAAGATGTGATCAACATATACTATTGGGATAGGAATTTTAACTTCTTGTGATTTCTGTGAGAATAGACTATGCTATGATTGACCTTTCAAATACCACTATCTCTTAACTGTCATAGTGAACCTTTCAAACCAAACTCTTGGTGGCTATTTTAGACTCTACAAAGAATCATCGAGTCTGCCAACTTGATTGGCAAAATTAGTGGTGACAAAGCCAACTGGAAAAATATTTCTTTGTGCTTCATCTTCTAAATTTCCACTAGATAATGTAGGGGAATAAGAGGGATTTACAGCCATACCATCTCAAACCCTATGATTTACATATCCAAAACCTTACAGTTCAATTTTACGCAACTACCACTTAAAACCTCTTAATACATCACTTCTACCAGCCAATAAATCGTTGTCGTCACACAGTTTCTAACTCTTTCGTATCCATCTCCTGCAACAACAATGCGCAAATAAGTCAAACTCCATTTTAATCCCACGCAAACACATACAGGCCATCTTTACTGGTGCGAACACATGAATGGCCTCCTCCAAAGTGCAAACACGCAACAAGTTCTCTTACTCCCACCTCAATGCAGAGCAGGCCCCGTCCTCCCTTGACCACCTTCTATTATTTTATCGTTATCTCCAGTTCATTTTTCACCCGTGGCACTCTTCCACTCGAAAAGTTGAACTCTTGTTATTCAAGTTCCTCAGTCATTGTTATTCGAGTTTCACATGCTAGTTTGATCTGCAGGAAAAGTTTCAACAGCAAAAACAGCATAACCTTTATCCCACAAAGTGGGGTCGGCTACATGAATAATAATTTTTCTCCATTGCGTCCTATTTAATGTCATATTTTCATTTAATTCTAATAAATTCAGATCATTTTTTTATCAAATAAGCCCAAGTCATCCAAGGTCTACTTCTGCCTTTCTTAACATAAGTTGAATCTAGAACATCTAATCTTTTAATCGGATCATTAGATGGTCAACCTTTAATGTGGCCAAACCATCTAAGATGTAACCCATCCATGACGACTCTCTCTAATTTTGTCTGTCACTGAAGCTACACCAATCCCATCACAGATATATTCATTTCGCATTTTCTCTCTAAGAGTAAAGCCACTCATCCACCTAATCATTCTCATCTCAGCAACACTTAGGATCTGTTTAGGGCAGCTGCAGCTTATCCAGATAAGTTGCTTATCCTGGTAAGCAGTTGATTCTGATAAGCTGTCTGTCTGTTTGATTTATGCGTTTGGAAAACAGCTGATTCTAGATAAATGATCATTATGCCCGTTTTGGATAAACTGTCTAGCTGTTTGGTTTGTGCGTTTTGTAAATAACTGATTTGCAAATTTTTTTAGAATTTTTTTAGGTAAATGAACAAATTTTTTTAGGTAAATGAACAATCTGGCACACAGAAGTTACAATGTTTTTAACAAAATTGCAATCTTTACCTTTTAGATATTTTAGAACCAATTAAACTCCTTCAGACTCCTTCAACACATACAGACCACCCAAAAATTGTGATTTACCAACCTTCTTAACGCAATCATATAGGGGAGATAAAACTAAAGATTCATGAATTCATTGACGTAAAATTTACTCATTTCCCAACTAATCTGTGTGAGCTTTATGAATCCTTCTTCCACAATAATTCTTCTTGAATGCCACAATAATGCTTTGTTTGTATCTTTCTTGAAATAACGTATAACCAAAAATGGCTTTTGTTTTTCCTGCAAAGATAATTCCCATAAAATTGCATTCATTTCCACTTTCTGCACTCAAACTTTACCAAATTCAAGTCAATTCACAAATACACAACATAAGTTATTAGGTATGCTAGAGACACCCTTTTCTTCATCAAAACATGTCAAAAATAAAACTTCAAGAATTCAGGTTTTATGTAACACCTAATCTTGTGTATTCATAAAACTAAACCCTTTTACATCTATAGGTTAAAATTTATACAAAACACCCAAACAATTCTATATCAAGGGCTGGTACAAATTAAAATTAGTAATATAAAAAAAAATTTAGAAAATGAAGCAAAAAGTGCCCAAGAAAACCATTTCACCGAGACATATTTCAATCAAACACAGATAACTTGATATTTACAATGCAATTATTTCCAACTGCATTTGGTGAATTCAAATCTATATCAACACAGAGAAGATAACTTGTAAGGCGTTGAGAATTTGATGTTCCATCCAGCCACATGAGCTCCAATAGTGAGGGAAAAACTCATTTTTTTTCAAACTGGATGGCATCAGATAATGTAAAGAGCAAATCAACTGTAGAAAACAGGAGGGGAAGGAAGCAGCTTATGGTTATGAAAAAAAACAGAGAAGGTGCCGAAGCCGGACAAGTCGAAGGAGATCGCCGAAAAAGAAACACAAAAAAATGGAGAAGAAATGAAAAAAAAAAAGGAAGAAGCATTACTTCTGGGAAATCGCCGAAGAAGCCGAAGGAGCTATCGTAAGCCGAAGGAGCTTTGAGCGCGGCCAGAAAATGGAGAAGAAATGAAAAAAAAATGGAAGATGCGTTACCTCTAGGAGATCATTGAAGAAGGCCGAAGCAGCTTAGAGCAAAAATGCGGAAGGGCAGAGAAGTAATCCTGAAACAAGAAACGCCACCCGCGGGGTCATCCTGCAAGCGACGGTAACGAAGAAAATAAGAATGATGTTTTCAAATCGCACCCAACACACGACAAACAAATGGAGGGGAGGCATTTTGAAAACGCCGCCTGAGGAAATAAGCGGAGACAAACGGGCCCTTAAACTTAGTTTTATGCTTCTCATTTAAAGGCCAACAATCAGAGACATAGAGCATTGTAAGTCTCAACACCATCTTATAAAATTTTCCTTTCAGTCTAAGCGGTACTTTGCTATCACACCATAGGCCCGAAGCATTCCTCCACTTCAACCAACCAACTTGAATTCTACTAATAACATCCCCATCAATATCACCATCACTTTGAACAATAGACCCGAGATCTACAGGAAAAGCTTGAATTCTAATTTTCTCACAAATCTTTTTTTTTCCTTTTTTAACTGTCCTTGAATTTCATATTCAGCTTTGTTCAAAGCAAACCCGTGTATGATTAAGTGCAGATGGAGTTAGAAGCGGTGGGACGATAGAAACTCACTGCACGGTAGAAGTGATATATTAAAGAGTTTTGAGTGGCAGCTGCGTAAAATTGAACTTCAGGGTCTTAAACATGTAAATTATAGAGTTTGAGATGGTACGCCTGTAAATCCCCAAATAATGTATTTATGTATCTGATTAAAGAAGCGGCCAATCAAACTTAGCATCTATTGACGATATAACCCTTACAGTGTTTATCTTGGTAACAAGTTAATGTCTTTTGATAGTCAATGTCATGAATTTAAGTAACCCCTTTACAACTAATTTGGAGCCATCTTTCTTATTTTACATTAGAAATCCAATTAAATCCAATTGTGTCTTTACCTTTTGGAAAATTGAAAGTTCTCAATTATCTTCTTTACTGTTTAGATATCTTCATTAATGTCTTCCTTTCATTCAGGTATTTTCATGACTTCATGCATATTTTTAAAAATGCCAATAATAGAAAATTGTGGTAAAGTCAAAAAATTTTAGGTAAAAACTATCGTAAGATAAAAAATCAGATAGTGGGTGTTTGCGCAAATCAACACACATTTCCATTCGAGTAATAAAAATATCAAAATCTTGTTGGAATTGTTAGAATATGGATTAATGATACCTTCTGAAGAGGATGATTAACTCGAAGGAGGCGCATCATTTTGTTCAAGAAGCATACCATAGTCCATCTCAGGCAGAAGAACCAAACAACTTGAGTAAATGATCCCTTTGTCTGTAGTGTAGGATCCTAAGGATTAGATTGAGTCCCAAGTAAGGAAGAGGGGCATGGTTGATCACGTAGATGAGTTTTGGGTAGAAGAGATTTAGAAAATGAAATGACACTAAGAGCAATAAGATTGGAAATCTATAATTTTATATTCCGCCGAAACTAATATTCAAAAAATGGCATAAAGTTGAGGTAAGAGAATAATGTTTTAATGAAAGAGAAGGTGTTATAAAACTTTCTATTGATAAGAGAATAGCACTAGCACCCCTTTCGAAGAGGAGAGTAACCAAGAGAGAGGCATTTTATTGTTTTGAGGTCATATATGCTTCTTTGATAAGGAATTATATGGACAATGGCAAAACAACCATAGATGTTTAGAAAGATGGAAAGGACGAGTTGGTTCCTAGAAAAGGCTAGAGCAAGAATCTTGAAGGTGTTTGGGGTAGCTTCATTGATAAGACACCATGAAAAAAAACTACAAGTACTTCTTTTACATGCTTCAGTTAATCAAATTACAATTCTTAATAAAATATTACGAACCATGAATGCTAATCAGTCAAAAAATTGACATCTAAAATTCGCAAAAGAGAAGTTATGAAATTCCTTCTGGCAGAAGCTCGACAAAGCCAGTGTGAATCCGAAAAGTTGCTCATTATACAGAGACAGAGCAACAGATGTAAATTTAAGCAAATGTAGACTTTTGAAAACAAAACAAATTAAAAAGGAAAAATGTTTTAACGGTACCTAGAGATGAGCTACATCTCCTCCTACCTAAGTTTATGAGCTTGAGCAGCATAATAATTTTCCTATAGATTGCTAAACCTAAATTAATCAGATTAGAAGGACAAAAATCCATATCCCCGCAGACATTTAAACTTCTTCTATATATCATTCTAAAGACGATTGAAACGGTACCAATGACCCAGAAACTGCAAAGGATTGAAGAAAAAGTGTAAGAGTACCGGAAGGAGATTGAGAAAAGCCTTAACCTCCACCGAGATGCGCAGCGCCAAGCGAACCACCGCCGGGGCTACCCGAGTACTCGTGTTTCCTTTTCCGATCGTATCCTTCGGACCGTGCAGTAATATTGGATTTATGTTAAATTATTTCCAAATTACAAAAGAGGCATTCATAAATCTTATATATTATTAAATCTCAGTCTTTCTCTATTTGTCTTGAATCCGGGATTTAATAAATCTAGTTGAAATACAGATTTAAGGGATTTGGAAGAACTAAAGCGTGGAAGAAGAGAAATCCTA